TGGAAATTTATACTTAAGTTTTTAAAAGTTGAAATAATATAATTAAAATAATATGTAGGAACAGTTTAAAGACAGGGTTTTAGTTATTTTTCTAGATGTAACCTTTCTTCTTTTTTTTTTTTTTTTTCAACCTACAACAACCTTCACTCGACAACAGTTTTGAACAGTTGAGTTGTGAGAATGTGAGCAGCTGCGGTTATTATAACTAAAGGTCTGTCTACTGCTTGAGTCTGAGAGACCACATGTTCGGCTGTCCTCTCATCTTGCCATCCTCACCAATTAACTATTAACATGGAGGGCTGTACACATGCTCTTGGGGGCTCTTTAACAGGCTTCTTGGCGAGTGGAACAACTACACAGCAGGGATCTGGGAACTGAGTAATGCTGGAATATAGGGGAGCCATCCGTAGTTCTGCTCCTAATGACACTTTACTCCATAGTTCAGCATGTAACAAAGTCTGTATTTAACTTAGCCATTTTCACATACATTTAGTACAATGTCTTTGGGCAGGTACTAAAACTATATTCTTGCAAGACACGATATAAGTAATAATACTTATGCTCAGGGAAAATTGTTTAAGACTATATGTCTATTTTAAAACATTCATAATATATTTGCTGAATAATTTTAGTGTTTTCTTAACAGATATGTAGAATTTACCTTTATACATTTGTTTCAAAGTATGCTTATCATTTTTTCCTGTGCTGTTATAGAAATAAACTTTAACTCAAAGGAAATTAAAGATTTCACGTTCAAAGTTGTGAGGCTGGGACAAAATACTTCAAATGCAAATTTAAAAATAATTATTGTTCACTCTACTTGCAAAAGTCATATTATAACAATACGTTAAAATCAGTTTTGAACCTGTGTCATTGTTTTCCCTATTTTAACTTTTTCCCATCTTTGCAATTTCCTTAACTATGTGTTCATTCCCTACAATGAAATTAAACATGGGAAGCATGCCAAAAGTATAATAAAGGGTAACTAATCATTACTGTATAAGTCTGACAGAATGCTAATAACTAAACTAAGAACACTGATTGGCTGGTTTACTAATCTAAGAGAGAAAGGTATTTTATATACTTTTAATCTAGTGTTATTTTATATAATATATTCAAATAAAGGTACTAAAATGCTGTTATCTATAGATGTTGAATTATATGACAAAATTTCCAAGGATTTTACACTACATTTCTATTTACTGTCAGAACCACTTTATTATCAACTCCCAAGCTTAAATGTCCAAATACTTACACACACTATTTTTCTGTTCCATCTTATCTTTACATTGCTGAAAAAGCTCATGGGAATAGGAACATTGTCTTGTTTACTACCATATCCCCACAGGTGCCTAGAACAGTGCCTGCAATATTTGTTGAACGAATAAATAAGCTAAATTAGGGTTGGCCAGTTAGCTCGGTTGCTTAGAGCAGTGTTGTAATACCAAGGTCAAGGGTTTGGATACCAATACCGCCAGCTACCAAGGAAAAAAAAGCTAAATTAAACTTAATGACTCAATCAACAATTAAACCCTGAGTTACAGTCTCCAGAGATGGCACTGGTCATAGTGGAAAGGAAACTGATATATGATGTTAAAGGAGTCTTGTTACAACATGGTGATGCTACTGAGATCTGGAAGGCCATCTGACTTCATCTATGTTTCCTGTTCCATCTCAGGACTAACCTATGAGAAGACCCTGTGAATGTCTTTCATAAAAAGAGGTGGAAAGCTGAAGATTTCTACTGCTTTAAGGTGTTTAAACTTGTACACCTTTTTTTTTATGGCCTGATCTCTCTTCAAATTCCTAATTTTAGAGGTCTAAGTAATAAGAGTAATGATGACAATTGCTAATGTACACTGAATGCCTACTGTGTGCCAGGACTGTGTCAACACATGTTAGTGCCATCCTCTCAATTGGGTATTTTTTGCCCTATTTTTACAGATAAAGAAACCGAGGCTGAGAAAGTTAAAATGTGACTAAGACCACATAATTAATTGGGCCTATCTGCCTCCCATTTATATCACTGAATATTACTTTGCACACAGTCTATTTCTTAATTTTGACTCAATTTTAGTACCTTTATTGAATAAGCAGCACGGCATGGTGGTTAAGAGTACAGTAATCAGAGGGGGAGGGCTTAAATCTAAATCCTGTCACTCATTAGCTGTGTAATTTTAGGAGAAGATAATGATAGTACCAACCATATGGGGTTATTATGAGGATTAAATGAGTTAATATTTGAAAAGAGTTTAGTACTGCAACTGGTTCATGGTAATCACTATGCAAGTTTTTATTAAGTACAATCACAGTCCCCTGTTTGTGTGTATTCATATCTTTGATTAGTTTTCTTAGCATACTGCCATACTGCTTCCAATGCTTATTCTCTTGACTTAGCCTAAAGATTGTGATTTTCCCTGCTAGTCTTTGAAAGTTTTTAGGAGTTTTATCCCCTATTTATATCATGATTGGTTTGAACAAACTAAGGTTTACATTTTTTCCTAAACATTTCGATATAAAAATAAATATATAGTAAGACATCACTTTTAAAGAGCGAGGGAATAATTTAGTTTTATAGCACAATTAATGGTAGAGCCAGAAGCCTACTATATGATAGCTTTGCAAAATTGTCTAGGGAGGAGAGTATGGAAAATGGGAAAATTTTAGAAGGTTGTGCAGCTTTTTAAAAGCTGTGTCATGGGAGGGGGGAGAGGGAAGAGGGAGGGAGGTTTCGGTGATGGGACATAATAATCAACTACATTGTATATTGACAAAATAAAAATTAAAAAAAAAAAAGCTGTGTCATAACTCTTGGTCACACTATGTAACTTTGTAACTTTATATCATTACCAAAGTCTGATCCTATTTTTTGCGATTTCCATTTCAAAGTAGTTTCTTTACTGGCATGCTAAAAAGTGTAAGTTTAAACCATATCTCTTCCAGTTATACAAGAGCTTAAAATATCTGTAAAATATCTAAATTAAAATATTGCTTCATGTTCAGGTATTCAGTTCACTTCGTCATTCAATCATTATTGAATCAGTGGTGTAGACAGGCTGACTTGAGGTCACCTGACAGTGACACTATCACTGCTGCTCCTTTAAACAGAGGCTAAAGAAATCACTGTCACAGACATCCACAATGGGGTTGGAATCTCTTCTCTAAGTAATAAAGATGATCACCAACAAAATGGCTTCTCAAAAGTGTTTTCCTTTTTTTTTGTTTTTCCACATAAGTGCCTTTGGAATAAAAATTTTAAATTACATATATACATATGTTTATTTTATAACTGTTTTTCTTTACTTTGCAATTATGCAAAAGGAAATATACTTTCATCTTTTTTTCTCCCTTGTCTGGAATGGAAATTCTTGCTTAATCTTTCGCATGTACTAATTTGTAAGATTTTACAATGATACTTTTCTCTTTTAAAATGCTGAATAATAGCAATGTTAGCCAAGAACTTTTTGTCCTAGTGGAAAGGTAGTGTCATCAAAGGTAGTTAATAATTCAAAACGCATAAAGATGTACTGTGACAGAGGGGAAAGAGTCTAAGTCTTAAAGTTAAACAGATCTGAGTTTGAATAACAGCTTTAAATGTGTAATACAATGTGATATTGGAGAATCATTTAACTTCAGTTTACTCTTCTTTGCAGTTAACATCACAGTTATCTTGCAGGGTTTTTTGATGATTAGGGAACCTACATAACCTAACAGTGAAGACGGTGGAGTACAGAGTCAGGGAAAGACACTGGCTCTGCCACTTATTATTGAGTGACCTTCTGAGAACAGAGTAGAAACTACCAATTTGACAGTGTTGTCAAAATTCAAGGACAAAATGCTTGTAAAGTGCTTTGCATGTAATATGTGTCTAATAAATATTTGTAGTAGCAGTATGAGTTGCAGTATTTTCACTAGTATCTGATAAATGCTTCAGGTTTATTTATCATCAAAATCAAGAAGCTCTTTATGTCTAAACTCTTATTAAAGTATTAACTTTACAACAACTTATTACTAACAATTAAAACAATACAAGCATGTGTATAAGGTCTAAGATGATTAGAGAAAAGAGTTTCCTGACTTTTACACAATTTTAAGCACATAATAAGTTAGGTTCAGGCATGATTTGTCAAAGCCCTTAATGGACAACTGAGTTATCCTCTCATGACTACTGTAAATAAATTCTGCTGGCCAAGGAGTCAAAGTTCACTTATTTATGCCAAACTTTTCAGTCATAGTATTAAAATATGCTATATATGCTGTACATAATTAATGTAACTAAATGACATTTTAGCAAATTTGTCATTTTTGTAAAATGACATTTAGTAACTTTTATATCTGGTGCTGCCTTCATGAAGATTACAATGTATTAGATATATAAAATTATATGAAATCACATGTTTGAGGCAGACGATAAGTAGTTTAGTAATAGTACTACTAAAAAAAAGAGAACTAGTCAGTGTTAAGTATGTTAACATAATTGGAATGTTAACTAAAGAATCCAAAAGCCATTTGAGAACAAGAACTAAAATAGTGTAAAAAATCAAAGGGGAATACATTGATTTGTTATTAAAAGATAAAGCTATAAAACATTTAGAAGAAAACATAAGAAAAAAGACCTTGGAGAGGGCAAAGATTGCTAAGATTAGAGGGATGAGAGAAAGAAATCACTAACCATTTAGAAATTGATAAATTAAACTTCAAGATTTTAAACTTTAGCTCTTCAAAAGACACTATATCAAGATAATAGAAAAGGCAGGTAGCAAACTGGAAGAAATTATTGCAAATTGTGGGCAAAATATACAAGAAATTTTACAAATTGATAATGAGGAGATTGCCCAATAAAATATGAACAAAAGAGACAAAAGAAGATATGCAAATGGCCAAAAAGCACATGAAAAGATGGTCAACATCATTAGTTATCATGGAAATGGCAAATTAAAACCACAATGTCATACCATTTCACCACTAGTTAGGAGAAGGTACTTTTGGAAACTTCTTACCTGGATAAGATGTGTTGGCATGGTGATAATACAGGCTGAAAGAGAGTTTCGCAGAAGACCACGAAGAACATAGAGGAACTTGGTAAGGCTGTGACTGTTGTCACAGTTTTCTGTACAACAAATGTCATCTCCCCATAAAGGTGAGCCAAGATTCTGAATTCCTATTCTTAAAATGTTTTTCTGTTTTTTCTACAGTGGGATGGAGGTAAACATACAAGGTTTTGTTAGTCAGTAGAATACCTCTTTTATTTGCTAGTTCTTAGTTTTATTAAGAACATCAGGGAGATAATGTCAATAGACATGGTAAAAAGTTTTTTATGTACTATTAGTAGTAAGGCGATATAACAGAAATCTTTTTGATTACAATATAAAAAAATAACAGAACTTTTTTTCACTTTTGGAAAATTTGAATATTACAAACCTCAAGCTTTAAATTGTATCTAAACTTTAACAGTGACTACTCTAAGAATTATGTTTGAGGCAGTTAAAATAATATATAACAAATTGTAGGTAATAGTAGAGAAAAGCTAAACTAAAATGCTTTCAAACCCCTTCTCAATATTAGGAAATTTTGTCTTTCAATAAACTATAAATTGCTCGATATTTCTTATTTAATTCTATCTTACCTACTGCTTGATCTTTTTGTTTGAAAGAAGTTTTGTTAAAGATGTATAACTTTTTGGTTTTACATTTTGCACCTGGCTCTAGTTTTTCTTCTTGAAACTGTTTTTATAATAATAATTTAAGTTTAACACTTTTCATAAAATTTAACAGCTAAACAAATATTTAGCACTTGAGCTTACTGTCATTAAGGTTACAATAATATTTCTTGAGAAAAGAACATTTAAAAACCACTAAAGAAACCCTTGAATGAATGTCAGTAAGTGCCAGCAAATGTGTTTATAATAAATTCTACTGTTTAGATTATTCTAACCAAACAAATTTTTTGTAAATGCTTTCCTTAGCAATCCAGCAAAACTTCTGGGCAAAAGGAGGTGTTAACAAAACCTGGCATATGCAAAAAAAGGGAAAATCATTATTACAATTTTGATGGAAAAAAATAAAACGTTCGCTCTTAAAGTTATGATTTGAGATACATGCCACTTTAGATGTGATCTCTGATGAAACAAACCCTAAAATGTATCACTCACTATTTTTATAAAATACCACTAATAAAATTTATTAACCAACTAGTTATTGTCCAATATATCTATTTCCCTGATATTACAGATGAATATTGAATTTGTGTATTCCTTTTTTAAGCAGAATTTATTGACAAAGTAGGGAAAGTCAATAAAACATTGAAACATCAGAAGAGGCAAATCTAAAGGAAAGCAACTTGTAAGATGAATAAAATATAGACTTACAGTCTGGACTATTTAACTAACTAGATGTATGATTCTGAGCAAGACACATGCATTATTTAGGCATTAATTTTCTCATCTCTAAAATTAAAAGGATAGCATAGAACACTGCTCTTGATTCTATATAATTCTTCAAAGATATGAAGGGACACAATAGCTTGGATAGGACTATAACAATGAGATTACAGGCAAAGGAATTTATGCACATTAGAACAAAACGTTCTGACTCCAAGGACCAGAAAGGTGATGACACTGTCAGGACAGCTGGTCCAATTTTCTTTTCTGAATGTGTTAAGGTTATGATAGACAAGCACCTAAGATACTTTATGTGAAGATCATTTGGTCCATAAAGATTGTTTTCTTTTTATTTCTGCATTACTTAAATGAAATGAAGTAATAAGATGTACCAGGCCATATGTTAGAAGTATAAATACATTTTTGGTGAATTAGTGTAAGATCCTGAAGTGTGATAGGTTATTCCTTTTTCTTTATTAGAACCTCAGAATTTAAGTAAAATAGCAAGAATTGAATGTTCATTTTGTCATCCCTAAACTTGTTTCCTCATGGTAACAAACTTAAGTTAGATTCCCAACAGGAAGAGCAATCTAGAGAAAGTAAGAGAGAAATGTACAAAAAAACCCTTTAGATGTTAGAATGAAACATGAAGGTAAAAAGAGAGTAGCACCACATTGTTTCTCCTGTCAACTTTTCAGAAACTACAGATCAGTGGTATTTTAACACAGTATCACCATTACCTTCTATTGTTGTACCAAAAAGTACCTGCTAAAAGTTTACAACAAAAATTCTGTTAGGCATGGAATCAGGAAATACAGAAGTTTAATGACTTTGACAGATACACTGATACTTGCATATAGAAAGAATGAAAATATTAAGTCAAAGAATGAGACATTTAAGTGAGGTAGGTACACAGCGCATCAGAACATAATTGAGCATAAAACTTCAACATGGGGAATACATTTACATATTTTTAAATATGATGTTAATTACAAAAACAAAGGCTGAATTACACATGTACTCTGTTTGGGACATATAATTGCTTTGCTATGCCATATAATAATGGGGCATATTTTGTGGCATGATAAAATTAAAAAATAAACTTTTGCTGATAGTTGTAAAATAAATTTATTCCCATAAAACATCTAAAATATTTAATGTGATATTCTAAGGAAAATCAAGGTTCTAATTTCATTTTTATTGTATATTTCTTAAGCAACTTAAAATCAAATGAAATTATGACAGCAATTTGTAAATATCTCCATTCCAAATATCTTTACCGATGAGCTACACTAATTTACTTACTATCAAGGTTAGTTTATCTAAAAATTTAGCAAGAGAGAAAGTATGACAAAAATTTCCTTTTAAAAAATAGAATTTATTTCAGTTTCAGAACATTATTCTGACTCAGGAATAATATTTTTTGATGTATTGCCTGATAGATGCATTTTTGTGGCTTCTTGAACTCATCTAAATTTTCTGAGACAGACATACAGGCTAGGTAATTTAGTACACAGTACAATCTGTAATTTAAAAATGTAAATTCAGGGCCGGCCAGTGGCTCACTCGGGAGAGTGCGGTGCTGATAACACCAAGGCCCCGGGTTCGGATCCCATATAGGGATGGCCGGTTCGCTCACTGGCTGAGCGTGGTGCTGACAACACCAAGTCAAGGATTAAGATCCCCTTACCGGTCATCTTTAAAAAAATAAAAAAATAAATAAAAATGTAAATTCATTAACTATATTTTAGTTCCAATAAAATTTAAAATATATTTTTCTAATAACTTATTGGTATATTTTAATTTAATAAAAAAAATTTTTTTTTAATCATTCTTCGTATTCAACATAGAAATGTCTACCTCAACCCTGTTTAATCTTTATGAAAATCAACAGTCAAGAATCTTTGGGTCAGAGAGCTAAACCTGCTTCAGTTTGCTGTCTATCAATTTTCACCAAAAAAATATTGTTTCTTAAAAATGGTATTGTTTTCATACACACATAAATGACTAAGAAAACAAACATTTCATTCCATTCCAATACAAGCTTATTTATAAAGGATCCTTAGAATGCATCTGTGTGTGTGTGTATGGGTGTGTATGTGTCCCTTTTGCTATTGCCTTTACTTTTTCGCATTCTATAATATTTCTTGCTCTCAGAAGATATGTCATCATCCTGTAAGAGCAGCAGCTCTGCGCACTATACCATAGGAACTGTTATGACATGCCTGTTTCCATAGTTACCACAGGGAGAGGGGAGAGGTGTCTGTCAGAGACCAATTTGCCTCTCCAGAAGGGCACTAGTACCAAAGGGAAGACATGGTACTCATAAACCTTAGCTAGACCGAAAATTAAGCAACAAAGAGCAAAATAAAATTATATTAAATACCAAAGCCATCATAAAAACTATGACATACATGAAAACCCACCTATAAATAAATATCTAGGCTTTACCACAACCACAGAAGTATTTTCAACCTGCAATTAGACCAGCAATCAAAACAAATTTTAAAATTATTTATTTTGCCATGGAGAAAGTGTTAAATATAGCAGTAAAGTTTACAAGAATATTTTAAAATCTATGAATTAAGAGCAAATGTAGCTGATAATGCCTCAAATAAGGCTTTTAGTCTTCTTTTCTTCTATAAAAATAATGGTGCTCTGGAAATACTTCTGCTAAAATAGTATAAATGTAATGCAAAGCAATTAAAATCACGGAGGAAGAATTTTATGCTATCTAGAAATAAAATTTTCCTAATTTTGCTTAAGTTAAACTAACTGGAACATCTTTTATTAGTGAGAATTTGAATAGTTTTAAAAACTAGAGCTACAGAGAAATAGCTGTTATAAAATATTTTAATATAGCAAATAAAAATGCACCTTTTATTCAATGGAACAACTTAAAGCATAACATATGAAATAAAATCTTAAGATAATTCTTACTCATAAGGTAATTTGAAATTAAGGCCTGAATGGCAGAAACATGAAAAATTTAGATAGAAAAGTATAGTCTTGCAAATTTAAAAGTAATTTTCAAAACGTAGCTACATATTAGTCTCAGGGGCTACAAATACATTTTTACAAATAATTAATATGGACAATGCACACATGCATCTTATGGGCATCCACAGAGAACTCAGCTAAAACTCTGAATACGCATTAACAGTAAAACTAAGGCTGTCTGTGCTCTGCTTATTTACATCTTCTGTGCTTGAAAACAGCTTGTTCACTGTTTATTATTCTAAGACCTTCTGGGTCAACCCCTAGAAAATTTTAAAACAACATTATACACATGATTATAAAGATTTTGAAGGTACTCAATACCTGGGGATTGGATCCATCAAATCCTTCCTCATAAATAATGTTTTGGATGAACTGAAGCAGCATTATGTAGCCAAGGGTCAAAGAACTGTTGGGAAGAAGTGGTTCAAATACATAAATGGGCTTATTACACAAGAAATAAAAAACTATACTAAAACATGAAATAAATAATTAAAAGGAATACACTTATTACATTACTTACAAATAAAATAAAATGTGTCAAGATAGTATTAAATAATCCTAAAATATAAAGTCAATACCTGCCAGGAAATACGTTACAATGCTTTTTATTAACCTGCTCAGTGTTCTTGACATAATGGGAAGATAAAAATCTGTGGAGACTGAGATGACTTAATTATGTCAGGCTTAGTTACCTCCAAGAAAATTAATGATTCAATGAAGCAACCTAAAAGATGAAGCCACTATAGCTTTTCAGGAGTAATCATACATAATTAACACATACTTTATGAACTGCTATGCCAAGTACACCTGAATCAATGTCTTGGTCACCTGAACTCATCTTCCATCAAAGTTTTAATTTTCTTAGAACAAACTGCTAAAATAATATTAATTTAAAATCTTGATCTTTTAAGACACACGAAGACAGGTGAATATAATCTCTACTAAATTTACTGTTTACCCACTTCCTTTGTTAAAAGAAGGCAATAAATGTATGAATTTAAGAAGATAACCTAAATTATTTCCCAGAGGAGTACCAGCATTAATGTTACTATGTTAAAATATATTAAAATGCTACAAAATATTTCAAAGATAACTTAGAGTGAAGAAAATCTGCTTTATATGAACTGAAGTTAGGAGTGTATAATGGACAACCTGTGTGCTATGGCTGAACATTAAATATCATGATAATGAGGTTTGGAGCACTATGGGACCGCGCCCTTTTTCTAAGCAAAAACAACAGATGGACTAAACGGATAAAAGGTGGCACCCAAGGGAAGTTAAGGGGGAGGGCTAAGCATAGAGAGGCAAGGCACGTGCACATTTGACCTTTCAAGGATTGGCCTAAGCTTGGAAATCCCCACCTGCTAAGCATATAAATATGATCTTTTGTGTTACAATAAACGAAACTTCCTGACAGGACCCCCATTGCGTGTGTACGTGTTTGTTCCCTATCTGGGAGAGCAGCGGCGTGCTCACTCATCTCTTGGAATCTCTTTTTGCCCCACGTCCTGGGGGGGAGAAAAGGGCAATCCCTTTGGCCCCAACCCTCTAGGGAAAGGAAAAACCTGTTGGGGTCCCATGCAGCCGCTGGAGACGCCCAACATCTTGTGCCCTGTGTGAGGATGGCGCCTCATACCACTTTCGCCTTTTTCTTTCCATGGGGATGGCCAAAAATGCCACACGATCGTGAAAGACGGATGACGAAGAGGCCCTGACCTACAGTGCGGAGCTTCAGAAAGAAGGACAACGTTCAAGAGAAATCTGCTATCGGGGTGAGTACCAAAGGCCTCAAGGTCATATCTTTCCTTTTACTTTCGTTTCTTTCTCTGTCTTCTCCTTTTTAGTTTTTAGCCATGGGGAATTTTCAAGAGAAACCCAGCAATCCAGCCCTTAAGACTCTAAAGTATTTGTTAAAAAGTCGAGGGTTAGAGCTTTCAGACGCTACTGCGGCCACAACTTGGGCGGCTGTTCTATCTATAGCACCTTGGGCGCTCTCCGTTGACTTGTTCTCATATGATACCTGGGATTGTATTCAGGCCCTGGCTCAGAAGAGGGAAGTCTACCAGGGATTCGAGCCACCCTTAGGCTTTTATCCCACTGTATCTGCCCTTAAACTATGTTTTAAGCCTAGCACTAAAGACGACTCAGACTCCCTGCGTACAGAGTGCATTTGGACAGCTTTTGTTGAGGAGCGAGCACAGGACAACGCAATTAGTGAAAAGGGCTATCAACAGCCTGAACTGATGGCTGGCAGGACCCCTTGTGCAAAGCTCTATCCTGACCTTTCCCCTTTTGGTGATAAGGTAGAAGAAAAGCAAGGTCATAAGACTCTGCTCCAAAATACCAATTGGGTTAAATTTGAAAGCCCAACCCTGCCTTTTTCCGAACAACCCCAAGCTTTCCTGGTTTCAGCTCCTCTTTTCAGTAAACCTGAATCACTTGAAGATACAAGGGGAAATCCCATAGATCAACTAAAACCTTCATTTCAAGCCAACCCTGTTAATGTTAATCCGGGGGGAAAAAGACTAGCCCCTTGGTATCCGTGGGAAGCCCAGGACTTAAAAGAACTAAAAAAGGCTCTTGCTGAGGATGGCCCTAATTCTCCATGGGCAGAAATTATCCTTCAGGGACTAGCCCATCAGCCCTGCACCACTCAGGACTGGAAGATGTTATGTAAGGGAGTCCTCCCCCCAGATTTGTTTATTAAGTTCTGTGCCTTTTATAAGGAGGAGTGCCATGCCCAAGCAGAAAGGAATCAAGCAGCCAATCCTGTCATCCTAGTTACCTTTGGCATGTTGTCCAGAACTGCAGATCAATATAGTACAGGAGTCCAACAGGCGGCAATCCCGCCTCCTTACCAAGACCAAGTCAGGGCTGCCGCCTTAGCTTCCTGGGCAAAGCTTGCAGAGGGCCCCACAGAGCCCCCAATTGCTGGAATAACCCAGAGGCTCAATGAAGACCTCCCTTCCTTTATTGTTAGGGTAGAGCAAAATATACAAAGAAAATTTCCCCCCGGCCCACTCAGAGATCAGTTTGTTAAGATGCTTGTATGGGATGGAATGACCACTGATCATAAGTTGGCTTGTGTAGGCTTAAGGGACCGATCCATGGAGAAGTGGGTTATTGCTTCCAGGGAGGTAGGGAGTCAACATTTTCAAGCCAGGATTTCATCCACAGCCTTGCAGGCTCAGACACAAAACTTAACTGAAGTCTTCAAGCCGTTTACCGCCCTGATTCCCTCGGGAAACAATACTTCCCCACCCTTCAAGGGACAATGTTTTGGTTGCAGAAGACAAGGTCATTTTATTTTATTTTATTTTTTTAAAATTTTCCCTTTTTTTGTCTCTTTTTTACTAACCAGTAACGGGATCGCAACCCTCGGTGTCGCGCCCGTACCACGCTCAGCCAGTGAGCGGGAACCAGTCTCCACATGGGATCCGAACCCTTGGCGGGAGCACCGCTGCGCTCCCAAGCGGCGCACTCTCCAGTGCGCCACCAGGCCGGCCCAACAAGGTCATTTTAAAAGCCAATGTCCCAAGGCTAAAGGCAAAAAAACCCCTACCACACCTTGCTCCTGATGTTAAAAAGGATTACACTGGAAAAAGGACTGTAGGTCCAAATTTGACAAAGATGGCAATCCTTTAAACTAAGCCAGGGGCAACCCCTAGCCCCGTCACCACAAGGGGGTCATAAAAGTAACCAGCCAAAAGGGCCCATGGATAATTGGACAGTCCCTGTAGTCCCCAGAGTAAGGCCAAAAATGGACATCACCATCAAGGGTAAAAGGTTCCGATGCTTAATTGATACAGGGGCAGATCGAACTGTTCTCTGTCAAGAGGAAGTGCCTCCTAGCTGGGATGTTGTCCCTGGGCCTCAAATCCTCGGGGTAGGAGGTGAAACACCATCTTTTGAAACAAAAGGATGGTTAAAATGGAGAGATGCAGATGGCACCACTGGGGAGGCAAAGCCCCTCATTGCTTCCTGACTTAATGCTAATCTTTTAGGACAAGACGTCCTTGGCCAGGCAGATGCTTACATCACCACCGATCATAAGGGCTTTTATGATGAGCTTTTAGATAAGGAAGAATACCAACAACAGTTCAACAGCCGCTGTCACCCTAATTACAAAATGCAAGCTCGACAACTCCTCCCCAGAATCAGGGTTCAACCCCAATTCTAGAGGCCACTACTCCCCTGGTCCCCCAGATTAAATGGAGAGATGGACCTCCAATATGGGTGGAGCAGTGGCCACTCCCTTCTCACAAACTACAGGCTTTAAGAGAGATTATCATACCTGTAAATCTTGCATCCCGTATTTACAGGTACCGCCTTCACAACCCGCCCCCTCCCCCGGTGTAAACCCTAGGGGGCTCAAATCTAATGTTTTATGGCAAACTGATGTCACTCATTTTCCAGCATTTGGAAAATTAAAATATATTTTCATGTCTCTTGACACTTATTCTCATGCCTGTTGGGATACAGTCCACACTGGGGAAAAGGCTAAACATGCACAAAGTCATTTACTACAATGTTTTGCCACACTCGGCCTCCCTCGTTAACTTAAAACAGATAATGCCCCTTGGTTTGCTAGCAAAGCCTTCCAAGATTTTTTATCCACTTGGAACATATGCCACTCCACTGGCATCCCTTACAATCCTCAGGGACAAGCCATAATAGAACGTCACCATCAGAATCTAAAGAACCAATTTTAAAACAAAAAGGGGGAATTATTAGCCCCCACCAACAGTTAGGAATGGCATTATTTACCTTAAATATTTTAAATTTTCCCAAACATGAGCCAATAACTGCTTTCCAAAAACACTGGTCAACCCAATCCCAATGTCTTGCCATTTAGGTATGATGGAAAGATCCCCTTTCAGGACAATGGAGAGGCCCCGACCCGCTCTTAACTATAGGCAGAGGATTTGGTTGTATTTTTCCTTTCAATGAGCCCAACCCTATATGGGTGCCAGCCAGAAATCTCAAGTTCTCACCCACTGCCCAGGGCGATAACGACCCTGAGGAAAACCTTTCTTATGTTTCCCAGGAAAGTCCACAATGAAGCAAGCTTATCTTCTGCTAGGGGTCTTCTCCATGATTGGTGAAGCAAGTCCACCCTCTTCTCCACACACTCCGGCTAACCAAACATGAACAGAAGGGGTTTGGACTTGCTGTTTCTGCAAGAAGGAGGATTACGTGCAGCCCTCAAAGAAGAATGTTGTTTTTACGCAGACCATTCCGGCGTTGTTAAAGATTCTTTAGCTAAATTAAGAGAAGGATTAGAAAAACGTAGGAGGGAAAGAGAGGCCAATTCCGGCTGGTTTGAAGGCTGGTTTAGAACTTCCCGTTGGCTCACCACTCTAATATCCACCTTAACAGGCCCTCCATGCATGTGGGGTTGGCTTA